TAGTTGTGGCGCATGGGCATAGGTAGCTCTGCGGCATGTGGGATCTTCCTGGACCAGGGATCGAACCTGTGTCCCCTGCATTGGCAGGCAGATTCTTAACCACGGCGCCACCAGGGAAGTCCCTATAATAGTCTTTAAGTGGATTTTGGATAGCTTTAGATGACTGTATCAGTCAGGTGGAAGGTAGCAGAATGAGGATTATCAGTGGAGGGGTTTGACCACTGTCTCTTGCTCATTCTTCATCCATTTAAATTTTTACACACACTTTCATGCTGTGCTTTGCTCTCCTAAACTGTAGCACTGGGCAGAAAGAGGTCTGTTGAAACAGGTGTTGCCCCTCATGTCTTATAGGAGGGACACGTATCATCTAGCAATTTGATACGAATGAGAAAAATCTCCCCAGCCACTGTGTACCGAGAAATGAGTCTGTACATTCAGGTGGTTGTAAATAAATTTGCCTAATGTTTACCCCCAAGAGGCAAGAACTGAAAAATGACAGCCCAGAGGAGGGGTGGAAATCTCTCTTCTGAAGTAATAGATTCTACCTAGCACCCGTGATGTAGGTCTGGTAAGCCACTGAGTTTTTGAGGTGAAAGCAAAATTCTTTCCTGTGAGCCAAACGTGGGGTACCATGCCAGTTCTATTCTGGAATATCTATGTGTGGCCCTGAGACTGGCCTATGTGTGACTTGCAGAGTTAATGATTATCCCAGCAGTTGTCTAAACTGCTTGGTTCCACTGGGCTGCTGCAAGCAGTTAGAGCAGTCTCCAGAGAGCAGCATGTTCCCCTTGCTCTTTGGTGCTGGACTGGTGGTTCTGAACCTAGTGAGCTCTGCAAGGAGCCAGAAGACAGAACCTCTTAGTGGCTCTGGGGACCAGCCCCTCTTCCGTGGTGCGGATCGATACGACTTTGCCATCGTGATCCGTCCAGGAGGCACAGAATGCTTTTGGCAATTTGCCCACCAGACTGGATACTTCTATTTCAGTTATGAGGTGGGTCATACTGGGGACTTGTTTTTCTTGTTTGTTCATTTCCTTTTGTAAAGGGGGTCAGGTTTTAAATGAACACAAGGTTCTAGTTGTCTTTATTATGCTGTGACTCCCCACCTGTTAATGAAACAGACCTGCAGTTAAATGGAAACTCCTGATGGATGAATAATCACTAAAACATATGGTTTGGCTTCTCAAATTGGGGGCTGTGGAAGTGTGCTCAAAGTCATGGGACAAACCGGGTGCCTCTTCCTGGAGAGGTAATCATCACACTTAGTCGAGTTTAGAGATGAGAGACGAAAGAATCCATTTTTTAAATATTAAAATAATATGGATATGGTACCAAGTTGAATGAAAAGTCACATGAACTTTAGAGACAAACCCAGAGATTTCAAAGACGCTTCAGTTTATGAGGTTGGGGGAGCAACATTTACTCTCTTGCCTTTAGGGGTAATTCCAGCAAATTGGAGAATCAGTAACTCAAGGCTTCTCTATGCAGTCAGACCTGTTGCTTTTAGGAAGGTAAATGTTTTCAAGTTGCCTGTTCACAGGCCAAGTACTTTAATCCATGCTGTGCCCAAGGATGGTCTGCTCAACAGTAAACTTAGAAGCTGTTCATTTCCTTTGTTCTTTATCTTAGAAACCTATTAACTTTCTAAATCTTGTTTACAGAGTAAAAGACTATGTTGATCTTATTCTACTCCAATGTAACTTACAATTTATTTTAAACTAACCTATCAGAGATTTTTCTTATCTCTGAATTTATAATAGAATAGTAGCTACTAGTCAGGTCACTGTAGCCTGGGCTTATCAAGACGCAGCTTGGAGGCAAGTACCTATTGAATGCCTTATTTATTTACTGTCAAGCATCAAATAAGCCCAAATCTGGTATACCACTGGGGAGGTCAAAACCAAGTGAGTTCTGCCAAGAACTCTACAGCCAGATTCATATACACCAACATGTCAGCTGCATGGTCTGAGACGTGTTTTCTTACCAGGGGTGCTATTGCCATTTGGGTCATTTCTTTGTCCTGCTTACTATTCTAACACGGCAGGCTGTTCAGCATTGCTGTCCCCGCCCCCCTTCCCCTACTTGCAACACCAGGGCAACGTCTCAGCCCAAATTCAAAGTGGGGGGTTGGGCAGTACGATCCCTGATTGAGAACCACTGTGCTGATGGTCACTGGATGTCAATCTTACCATTCAGCTAGCTTCCTGATGATGCAGCAGGAGCTTTTCTCCCTCTTTAATGTGTCTCGGCAGGTTCAGCGGACACTGGGAATGTCACATGACCGGCATGTTGCTGCCACTGCACATACCCCACAGGGTTTCCTTATAGACACCACTAAGAATGTTCGGGGCCAGATTAACTTCTCCACCCAAGAGACAGGTCTGTTTTCGTCATCACGGCTATTATAATAATCATACATTTCTTTGAAATTGGGAAAATAATGAGGAAATATTGAAATTAATTAAGTACCTGAGATGTAAAAGCTCTGGCTTTTTCACATATGGATGGTGAAATAGTAAGAAAAAGATTTAGCCTTCAACACCAAAAACCAGATGTCCTGGAGACTGCCAATGGCCAAGGACATCAGCAGTCCACTGGCAGTTTGGAAGCAGTCTCCAGGTGACTAATTATTATAACTCCAGGGTCCAGAAGCTCGATTTTATCTTATCATCTCCAACGAACCAGATTATTGGAAAGTGATCAAAACAGGCAGACCCACTTATGATACAGAATTCCAATTAATAAATTTATTATGGGACAGTATTTCTTTTCAGTCATCAAAACACTTGAGCCAGTTACCAAAACGCAGAACACAAGGAAATGCATGGCCATGAAAAATATCCGCATTCTACAACAAAGCACTTCTCCAGTCACCAGAAAATTCCTACAGCCAGATCGAGCCTGTCCTCACCCTGGACGGCACCAGTCAGTTTGAACTGTCCTCTCTACCAGCCAGGTGCACAAAAAAAGACTATTTCTCAACAGGGACGTAAGAGAATCACTGAGTGGCACAGGATATTCAGCATTATTATGCAGCATCTTTGGCCCCTACGTAGTGCCTTCCAGTCATTTCGACAATCAAATACACTGCCACACCTTTCCAACCCTGCTCCTCCTCACTCCTCCCCCATCACCACACGCGGGGAGGTGACCCCAGTTGAGAACAAGCACCAGTACATACCCCAATCATCAGCCCCCATACAGACCACCTTGCAGGAAGTTACCCCAGTAGGATAGCTTCTTTCATTCACAAAGCATACATTTTTTCCCTACTTTCAAATTCAAATGATATCCCAACTCTCATGGTATGCAAGAAGCAAACACTATGCTCTTAATATGCTCTTGATCAGAAATTCCTTAAGAGATGTGGGAATTATACATTGAAAAAGAGGAAGAAAACATTTTCTATCCAACACAGAGCTAAAGCTACTAATATTTGGCAAAACAATATTATAAATAATTAGTAAAATAAGTTTCACGTAAGATCAGTATCTTCCACATCAAAAACTGGATTTTGTACTTCCTAAGTAAAAAGAAGGTGCTATAGTAGCACATTTAACACTGGAGAACAGTTATCTACAGGGAAATCTAGAGGGTGGGAGGGTGGGAGACCAAGATTTGGTAATGATCTAGGGATTCCTACAGGTTTTTATCAGCTTTGTCTAAAAAATCAGCAAAATCACTTTGGTTCTGTGCAAGTATACCTCAATTTTGGAGTCTTCTATGAGGGGCCTGAGATGGACCACAAAGAGAAGAATGAAAGAAAACAACTGAATGATACTTTGGATGCAATTGAGGTAATTGTTTTGTGGGAGAGAAACATCCATGGAAACTGACTTTAAATTTGGAGGAAAGATTAGAATTATGGGAGTAATATCATCAGAGTGAGGGCTCATTTGGGTAGAAAACAAACAGGCAAAGGGATTTAAAGCCTTTAATTAATTTTGTGACTTGGAGCTCTTGAAATTCCTCACTTGTTTTATACCAGGAATTGGCAAACAACGGTTCACAGGCCAAATCTGGCCCACTGCCTGTTTGTTTTTTAACTTAGATACAATTCACCACTTTAAGTGTACAGTTTAGTGGTTTACAAGGTCCTGCAACCATTACCAGCATCTAATTCCAGAATAGTTTCATCACCCCAAAAAGAAACTGCAGACCTATTATTCACTCTGTGTTCCCCATGCCCCTCAGCCCTGGGTAATCCCTCACTAATCTACTTTGTTTATATAGATTTGCCTGTTCTGTACACTTCATATAAGTGGAATCATACAATGTGGCCTTTTGTCTTTGGCTTCTTTCATTTAGCATGTTTTCAAGGTTCATCCACATTGTACCATGTATTAATACTTCATTCCTTTTTCTGGATGAATAGTATTCTATTGTATATTTAAAACACCACATTTTGTTTATCTACTTATCAGCTGGTAGACATCTGGGTTATTTCCACTTTCTGGCTATCATGAACAATGCTGCTGTGAGCATTTGCCTACAAATTTTTGTGTGAACATGCTTTCATCTCTGTACACATATAAGCGGTATTCTCTGCTGGCACATATGGTAACTTTTTACCTTCACTAAGGAACTGCTATATTCCACAGTGGCTAAACCATTTTACACTCCCACCAGCAGTGTATGAGTGTTGCAATTTCTCCATATCCCTGCCAACATGTTATAGTCTTTTTTGCTATAGCAATCCTAGTGGGTATAAGTGGTATCTTGTGATTTTTGAGTTGTGTCTCCCTGACACTGAGCATCTTTGCATGTTTTGGAGAAATGTCTATTCAAATCCTTTGCCCATTTTAAAATCTGGTTATTTGTCTTTTTATGATTGAGTTCTAAGAGTTCTTTATATATTCTGGATACAAGTCTCTTAACAGATATATGATTTGCAAATATTTTCTCCCATTCTCTGGGATCTCTCTTGACTTTCTTGATAGTCTGCTTGATGCACAAAAGCTCGCTGCCTGTTTTTTTAAGTGAAGTTTGACTAGAACACAGCATGCTCATTTGACAATTACAGTTGGCCCTCTGTATCTGCAGATGCAGAACCTGCAGATGCGGAGGGCTGACTATGGGACTTCAGCATCCTCTGCAGGTTCTGGAACCCATCTCCCCACTGATAATGAGGGACAGCTAACTGGACATATTGTCTATGGCTGCTTTTGTGCTACAGTGACAGAGCTTAGTAGCTGCAAGAGACTGACTGTATGGCCTGCAAAGCCTAGAATATTTACTGTCTGGCCCTTCCATAAAAAATTTGCAGGCCCTTATCTTTTACCATATACAAAGAACAGAAGACATCACCCAGAACAGCAATGATGTGCTGAGTACATGTCTAAATCTAGAGATAATCTGGAGGAACTTTCTAGTTTTAGCACTGAAGTTTTTCATTATAAAAATTATTTTTTTATAACTGAAGTCCAGGCCATTTTTTCATAGACAACAAAACTAGCATTTATCAACAACTCCAATAGCCAATTTATTACATATTATAAAATCGTAAGTTACTCAACTTCCAGATAAACTAGGTTAGTGCTGTGGGTACCCAGGGGAGGCTTGATGAGGTTACGGAGGAACCCTTTCTGTATTTCATTTCCTGTCCTGCAGAAGAGTACACGAAAGCTGCAGAACAATATCTTTCACATGTGGCGATACTACAACTTCGCTCGCATGAGAAAAATGGCTGACTTTTTCCTACTCCAGTCAAACTATAACTATGTGAATTGGTGGTCGACAGCCCAGAGCCTTGTTATTATTCTTTCTGGGATCCTGCAGCTGTATTTCTTGAAGCGTCTCTTCAACATCCCAACGACTACAGACACAAAGAAGCCAAGATGCTAAGCTCGAACAACTACAGTGCCCTGGCTCTTTTCTTCTGGGGCACAAGCTCTCTCAAATCTTTGTAAAGTTATTGGGAAAAAATCAATTTTTCTTGTTAGAAAGTTGTAGCCTATTGCTCTCATCTACACAGGCAAAATAGCAATAAATAAAAGTGTGTAAAGTTTTGACGTTGACTATTTCTAAAGTACACACTAAATGCTAACATCAAAATACTGTCCATCGTACTGCAGCCCCTTAACCTTCACTATGTCTATTTAGAAATTAACAGAGAACCTTGGAAAGGAGAAAAGTTGAAAAATATGGGACAAAAACATATAAAACTGGGTTTTATATGTTGCATACAAAAATCGGAGCTGGTAGAGTGCTTTTTTGTAATTGAAAAATGATTTATTTTTAGAGATGTCACCTTTGGAATTTAAATTAAGCAGTATATGCACTAAAGAAATTGCTTTACAATACAGGTACTTAAAAATTTTTTTGTCTGTGATATGTTTTTCACTAAAAAATATTTTAGTAATTCTAAAAATAATTTTGGAAGGCATGGGAGAAGGATGGAGGAGCTAAATTATTATTTCAGGGTCTCTGAGTAGTGCTTTTTGTCCAGTCCAGTCATGTAATTAAAGATTTGTAAGAATATATGTATAAATGAATCACTTTGCTGTACACCTGAAACTAACCCAATATTGTACGTCAACTATACTACAATAAAAAATTTTTTTTAATTAAAAAAAAACCGAAAAGATTTGTAAGAGAAATTGTTTTAGAAATCAAGGTGATAAAAATAACATTCAGCCTGGGATCATACCATTCAAGAAAAAGAGTGAGAAAACTGCTTGTAAAAGCCAAGATAATATAATCAAATTATGTTCATAAGATCCTACTCTTAGTAACAGACTCAGTATAAACATTACAGAAATAACTCTTACCATTTATTCAACACTCTCATTTGCCAGGCACTGTGCTAGATGCTTTACGATCACGATTTCCACTTCTAAAAACTATTCTTAGGAAGACGGCTAGGCTGCTTTTTGAAACAGAAGGAAATGAAGCTTATTAAAGTTTAATGACTCATCTAAGGCCATACAGCTGGTAGATGTGAGAACTGGTGTTTGAATCCAAGTTTTTTTTCCACACTACACAGCACCTACCGTAAAGAAAATCGGCAGAATGAACTGCTCTTACTGTTTTATCCAAATTTCATTTGTAAAATTCCACACACGACCTACTATTCTGATGGCAATATCTATCTTTCATAGTATTAATAATAAGAAAATTCATTACGTTCTTATCATGTGTTTGGAAAACAGTGTTATCACAGATAACAATACGCTATTCTTGTCCTCAGTTCCAACAATTTAGAACCTGTTACTCAAAACAAGAAGCCCTCTGATTCAAATATAAAACACAGCATTCTAGTTAGTCATAATCACAAAGATCCAAAACCCCGTTTTTGAGCCATTTCTGCATAATAAGAATCCAGCCTGCATTTGTCCATAATAGAATATTAAACTAAGAAGTCCCTGAAGAGGTCACAGTGTTGACAAAATTCAACATGATGGTGGAGCCTACACAGACACAGGAAACAAAGCTAGGCCCTTCCACACAGCCACAAGTCCTCGCGATGATTTCGTTTTAAGTCAATGTCTCTTCATGCCGCACATATTCCCCAATGTCTGCTTGATGAAATACCACAATCGCCATGGGGTCTACTTTCCTGCAGTCTTGTGTAGACTTTGCTGCCACCCCAAAACCCTGGGATTCAAAAGAAGAGACACTGATTCACTCAAGTCATTCAATAAGTACGTATTGAGGTCTGGAAACAACAAAGACGAAAAGATACAGTTCTTTGAAGAATTCAAAAGGTGCTGAGAATTTAGTCTCTCAAGCGCAGACTGAAAATACATCCATCTTGAATAAAAAGATACTTGATTTTTTAACAGCAACCATCTCTACTCACCAAAGGGATGTCTGCCATGGAGTACACCACAACTCCCTGGTACTGAGAAGTATTTTCAGTGATTCGACCAAGTCCAGATTTCAGCACATGGTTCCCATACAGGAAGGATTGCTCTGCTCCAGGTTTTATCCACACTTTATACTGTAAAAAAGAGAATTAAATCCAAGAGACATAAAAATGCTAAATAGTTAGACCCCTGCAGATAGGCTAACTGCTAGATTTATGGTTAATTTCCTTCTTTTTATCCCTTATGAACTAAGTTTTTTTGGTTCTTTTACTTATTTTCTTTTCAGTTGAAGTATAGTAATCTACAATACTATGTTAGTTGAAGGTGCAAAACATAGTGATCTGATATTTCTATACATTACAAAAGGATCACAATAATACAAAGTTACTATATCTGTGTCATCTGTCTCCATACAAGATTATTAAGATATTACTGACCAAAAAAAAAAAAAAGATATTACTGACCATATGCCCCGTGCTATATATGTCACCTGTGAGGTTCGTCTGTCTTGTAACATGAATTTTAAAGAAAAGAGAGAAAGAGTCATGCTTCCCTTAATATGTTCACCCCATGAAGAGACCAGCCAGGAGGTTCTTACCTCGACTCTACAATCAACTTCTCCCATGGGCAGTTTAACAGCTCTTTTCTGTACCCCACTACGCTCCTCTTCACAGCCACCTATTTGCTTTTTGGTCTTGAGCTGGGTCTGCATAGGCTTTTCAGTTTCTACTGGAGATAACTACCACTACGCGGCCACACAGGACTCCTACACCTGAGCCCCGACCACGCCCAGGCAGCAAGATGTACACACATCTCCAGGTGCTGGCACTGACCCTAAGCACCGTCAGCGACTCCGTCGCAGAAAAGGTGCCCAATTCTGCCTTCTGATGTGGCCCTCAGCCTAGACTTCCTCCATCCCTAGTGGCGGACTGACACCACCCCACAAACCTTGGCATACGGTGCTAGGTAATCCAGAGCCGTGATGTGCAGCCGAAACTTGTGGGTCTTCGTGAATTTTCCGAAGCACGTCCCCAGCGACACCAGCTTGTCACCGGAGATGTTGGCGGCCAACTTCAAAATCTTCTCACTGAAGGGATAAAGAAAAAGGCAGTGTCAGATGAGGGAGGCTGGAGGGACCCAGGACCCCACCCGGCTCCATGCTGCCTACCCAGCCCCGCGCCGCCTCACCTCACGTAGTACACCCGGTCGTTGTGCAGCCTGAAACAGTAGGTGCCGTCGGGCCTGTCGACCAGCAGCTGCAGATTCTCCCCGATGCTGAGAGCAAAAGGAGGACTAGAGGCCGCGCCCGGACTCATCCCGGCACCGCGCCCCCCACTCCACCCACGCCCCTCCGCGCCACCCACACACTCCCTCTTCTGCCCCGCGCACTCTTACTATTTTGCTATCTTCTCAAACATTACTCGCGTCTCCTCTTCAGTCAGAGGCCGCATTTTCCCGCTGGGTTGGAACGCCGGATCCTCGTGCCTCAGTTACCGGAAACGGAAGATCAGCCGCTCCTTGGCAACCTCAAAGCCTGCCTCTCTAGCTGCTTTCCAGTCGTTTCCCCACGCTAGCGCCCCGTAACCTGGACGACTATCGGGGAAAGAAAGCGGGCCTGATGAGAAACCATAGAGACCGGAAGTACGCCCCGGCTGCTTTCGATTCTACGGAGTCAGCGCCCTCGCTGAGCGGGAGGGGAAGTGACGCTGCTGCTGAGAAGATGGCGGCGACAGCGACTCTCCCGCTCTCGACTACGGCCTCGGCCACAGCGACGGCCACCGCGGCTGCTCTCGGGGAGGTGGAGGATGAAGGGCTCCTGGCGTCGCTGTTCCGGGACCGCTTCCCGGAGGCCCAGTGGCGGGAGCGGCCCGACGTGGGCCGCTACCTCAGGGAGTTGAGCGGCTCGGGGCTGGAACGGCTGCGGCGCGAGCCCGACCGCCTGGCCGAGGAGCGAGCGCAGCTGCTGCAGCAGACGCGCGACTTGGCCTTCGCCAACTACAAGACCTTCATCCGCGGCGCCGAGTGCACCGAGCGCATCCACCGCCTCTTTGGCGACGTGGAGGAGTCGCTTGGCCGCCTGCTCGACCGCTTGCCCAGCTTCCAACAGAGCTGCAGGTGCGGCGGGTCCGGTGCTAAAGGGGCTTTTAATACCTGTAATCACTATCATTTACGACGATAGAAATAGCTAACACTTAGATAGCGCTTACCATATGCCAGGTTCTCCTCTGAGCATTTCATTAATCCATTTAAACTGCACAGCAGCCTTCAAGGTAGGTATTGTTATTTGCATTTTGCGTATGAGGAAGTTAAGACACAGAGGTTAGTGACCGTCCCAGGGCACAGCTAGTAAGTTTCGAAGTCAGAATTGGAACCCAGCAGCACGTCCCTCTCTCACAGGGCTGTTGTGAGCACTAAATAAAGAGAATCCATGCAAAGCACTTATCATTGGGTCTGACATAATTAATACTCTACAATTGTCAGCTTAATATATGTGCATATTTATGTAAACCTATACACACAACACAAACACACAACACACATGTACACACAACAGCTTGGACCAGAGGTCATCTGCTCTAAACCGTTCATTGATAGGAGGCTGACAAGGAAATCCTCCCGTTTGGGGACAGTAAAAATCATCATCCAAAAAAAAAAAAAATCTTCCTTTTTGACCCATATTCTCCCTCCCTCGACCCTCAATCGATTATCCCTAATTCTGCCTTCCAGTCTTTCGTGATAAAAGTTTAAGTTTTCTTTTGAGTCTTTGCATATTTGAGAATAGCTTTCATACTCTTCCAATCCCTTAGAATAGATGGAGGGCTTCACAAAGCAGGTGTCTGCAGTTACCGAGAAGAAATGGAGACTGTAGCAGGAACTGAGGTTGGACCATAGCATAGGAGATTAAGAGGCTGAGGGAACTTGGGGGTAAGGCTGTAGTTCTAGGCTAGTTAGGGCATTATGAAAATAATAAGAATAGCTGTTATTAAAGGAACATTTACTCCATATCAGGTCCTATGTTAAATGCTTTATACACATCATCTCATTTAATCCTCACATCCTTATGAGGTGGGTCCTGTTACTATTTTACCAATGAAGAAACAGTTCAGAGAGCCTAAGTACCTTGCTACAGCTTGTTAAGTGGCAGATCTGGGTTCAAATCTTTTTATCACTTATTAGTTGTGTGATCTTGGACAAGTTGCTTAAAATCTCTGGGATTAAAATTTCAAGGGTAAAAGTACTTATCTAATGGGGTTGGTGCGAAGATTAAATCAGATAAATCAGCCCAGTGCTCAGTTCATAGTAAGTGCTTGGTATTTGTAGCGAAGATTTGGATGCAGAGCAGTGAACCACCAATGTACTCCTGATTGTTACTAGGAATTTTGTGAAAGAGGCTGAGGAGATCAGCTCCAATCGCCGAATGAACACCCTGACTCTAAACCGGCACACGGAAATCCTGGAAATCCTGGAGATCCCTCAGCTCATGGACACCTGTGTCCGGAACAGCTATTATGAAGAGGCCCTGGAGCTTGCAGCCTACGTACGCCGACTGGAAAGGAAATACTCCTCCATCCCTGTCATCCAGGTAGCCAACTTGCCCAGAGAGGACTCAAGCTGATGTTCTTGTGATCAGTAATTCTGTGGTCATCACTGACCCTTTAGGCAGAAACCTTAGGGAAACTCCTTGCATTTTTCACATCAGTTTCTGCAAGGCAGGCAGGCTTGATCATAAAACATACATTCATTATTCAGTCAGCTGATAAATAGTAATCATGTGCCAGGCATTGATCTAGATGCTGGGGGTACAATGTGAACAAAGACAAGGCCTTGGCTCTCATAAGCTGCTAGTTGGCAAATAAATAAATAATATCCTTTCAGATAGTGTTAAGTATCTTAACAAAGTAAACCAGGGAATGGGGCAGGAGGCTAAGGTGGGTTACTCTAGGTAGAGTGGTCAGGAAAGGCTCTTCTGGTGAGATAACATTTAAGCTGAGACCCAGATGACGAGAAGGAGCCAGCCACATGAAGATGTGGGGGGAGAGCCAACCAGAAAGTGGTACGAACAAGTATAGCAGGCTAAGGAGGGAAGAAGTTGGAGTGTTTGAAGTGTAAAGATAGCCATTCTGGCTGGATTGCAGTGAGCAAGGGGAGAGCATTAGGAAGCAGGTGAGGGCAGAACCAGGCAGGGCCCGTAGGCCGCAGTGAACCAAACCTTTGCTGGTGAACCTGTATGCATCAGTTTTAGGAAATCTACTTCGTATGTCAGGACGGCAGTGGGAATGTTGGTCTGCAGTATTCAGGGTTAGTGGAATGGGTTCCAGGGAGTGTCTTTCCCAGCGTGGTGACTCACCCCCTGTGTCGTCAGGGCATTGTAAATGAAGTGCGCCAGTCCACGCAGCTGATGCTGAGCCAGCTGATCCAACAACTGAGGACAAACATCCAGCTCCCTGCCTGCCTCCGTGTCATTGGCTTCTTACGGCAAATGGATGTCTTCACCGAGGCTGAGTTGAGGGTCAAGTTTCTTCAGGCCCGAGATGCTTGGCTCCGTTCTATCCTGACTGCCATCCCCAGTGATGATCCCTATTTCCACATCACGAAAACCATCGAGGCCTGCCGTGTCCATCTGTTCGATATTATCACCCAGTACCGTGCCATCTTCTCAGACGAGGACCCGTTGCTGCCCCCTGCCATGGGCGAGCACACCGTGAATGAGAGTGCCATCTTCCATGGCTGGGTGCTGCAGAAAGTCTCACAATTCCTGCAGGTGCTGGAGACTGACCTTAACCGAGGGATAGGCAGCCGTCTGGACTCTCTGCTGGGCCAGTGCATGTACTTTGGACTGTCTTTTAGCCGGGTAGGGGCTGATTTCCGGGGTCAGTTAGCTCCTGTTTTCCAGCGAGTGGCTATCAGCACTTTCCAGAAAGCAATTCAGGAAACGGTCGAGAAGTTCCAAGATGAAATGAACTCCTACACCCTCATCTCAACTCCAGCCATCCTGAGCAGCAGTAACCTGCCTGCTGCTGTTCCAGTCACTCAGCCGGGGACCCTGCAGCCGCCCATGGTGCTCTTAGACTTCCCACCCCTTGCCTGCTTCCTCAACAATATTCTGGTCGCCTTCAATGATCTGCGCCTCTGCTGCCCCATGGCCCTGGCACAGGATGTGACTGCGGCCCTGGAAGACGCCCTTGCCAAGGTGAGCACATACTGTTGGCTCTCTTCTGGGGCCTCCTTTAGTAACAGGTGGCCAGACTTTTGTAATAAACCAGTCTGTGTGACAGTGGTGCCTGCTGACTTCGGTTTAGTGTGGTTTTAGAGGTTTTTCTGGTTGAAAAGCTCTGGTTAGTCTCCTTTCATGAAGTGTCTCACCTGTAGTAATGGTTCAGTAATATATTGATTTTCTATTGCTGCATAACAAACTCACACAAACATAGCAGCTTAAAGCAACACACATTTATCATGTCTGTTTCTGTCGGTCAGGAGTCCAGGCACAGCCTAAATGGGTTGGTCCTCTGCTCACAAGGTTGCAATCAAGGTGTTGGCCAGGCTGTGGACTCACCTGGAGCTCAGGGTCCCCTCCTTTCAAGCTCACTCACAGTGGCAGATTTCTGTTCCTTACAGTTGTAGGACTGAGGCCCTCAACTCCTAGAGACCAATCCACTCCATAGGCAGTTCAGTGTGGCTTTTTGATTCTTCAGAGCCAATGGGAGAGCATCTCTCCTTGCTAAGTCTCCTTTAGAGGAGTCCTCAACCCTCTTTTAAGAGGCTCATCTAATTAGGGTAGGCCCACCCAGGATAACCTCCCTTTTCATTAATTCAATCAGCCGGTTAGGGACGTTAATTAAAACGGCCAAATCCTTCACCTTCGCCATATTTTGTGGGTTAGAAACAAGTCACAGATTCTGCCTGCACTCAAGGGGAGGAGATTACACAAAGGAGTGGATACCAGGGGGCGGGGATTACAAGAGCCATATTAGAATTCTGCCTAATAAAAGTAATACTACCAATATTGCTAATATCCGAGTATGGTGCATTTTTACACATTAAGTCTTTAGATATTGGGTGTTTCTTATAATTGACGACATCTTACAGTTGCTGTCAGCCAGGTGGCAGTTGTGATGTGGTTGTATAAAATCTTTCTGTTGATGTCCTCCTGTAAGAAAGAGCAAGGAGGGCGTCCCTGGTGGTGCAGTGGTTGAGAGTCTGCCTGCCAACACAGGGGACACGGGTTCATGCCCCGGTCTGAGAAGATCCCACATGCCGCGGAGCAGCTGGGCCCGTGAGCCATGGCCGCTGAGCCTGCGCGTCCGGAGCCTGTGCTCTGCAATGGGAGAGGCCACAACAGTGAGAGGCCCGTGTACCAAAAAAAAAAAAAAAAAAAAAAAAAAAGAGCAAGGAAGCATGAGCAATGAAGCTTTTTAGGGTCAGTGAAATTCAGATAATAGTAATTAGCTAATGTTCATCTAGAGCTTACTTCATGCCACATAATTTATCATACTTTACACATATTAAAACCTAATTCTCACAACCCTGTCAGGTTAGGTCCTGTTGCTGGCCCTACTTTATAGATGAGGGAACTCAGGCACAGAGGGCATGGGGTGCTTAAGTAATCACTTAGAGGCCACAGAACCAGTGAGTGGGACAGCTGGAGTTTGAGCCCAGAACGTCTGGCACCAGAGTCTATGTTCGTTATTTATTTATTTATTTGTTTGTTTGGCCGTGCCTCTTGGCTTGTGACCAGAGATTGAACCTGGGCCCTCGGCAGTGAAAGCACAGAGCTCTAACCACTGGACTGCCAGGGAATTCCCCAGAGTTTATGTTCTTAACCCTGTCACTGTGACCCTGCCTGTAATGTCAGCTAGGCTGTTATTTGTATGTGGAACTTCTTCTCCAGCTCTATTTTTTCCTCCTTTACAATTTTCTAGTGGTTCTAGCATTGTGGAACTTCAGAGGCCTTACTCAGTAGAAGCCTTTTATAGTGTTGCTTCATCTTCCTGGATCCACCATAGGTCTGGTCCATCTCCCATGGGAACCAAAAGCAATGTATTCTGTGTATAATTTCATGATGCTCCTCCACTGGAACTGGAAACTGCACTAGTAATAAAACTAGTTGGATAAGAAATACATCAGTGAAGTGACAGAATTGTGAAGATTGACCACAATTGTGAATTTAAACAAGATAATAATATCATGTACGGTTTGGAACAACTTTCTTCATGAAAACTTGAGGGGTGCACATTTGTACCTAGTTTTATACACTGCTGATGGTGATAGACTAACCCGGTGATTGATGGTGCCCTTGTCTCTTAGGTAACAAAAGTAATCTTGGCCTTCCATCGTGCCGAAGAGGCTGCCTTCAGCAGTGGGGAGCAAGAGCTGTTCGTCCAGTTCTGCACTGTCTTCCTGGAAGACCTCGTTCCTTATTTAAATCGCTGTCTCCAAGTCCTTTTTCCTCCAGCTCAGATGGCACAGACCTTAGGTAAAAGAAGGGAAAAGATTCTTAAAACTATTTTATTGACATAATTCACATACTAAATAATTCACCTATTTGTAAAATTCAAGGTTTTTAGTAAGTGTACACAGGTGTGCAACCGTTACTACCATCTAGTTTTAGAAAGATCCCCGGTGTTCATTTGTGGTCATTCCCCAATCTTGCCCTTAGGCCCTGGCAGCCACTAATCCTTCTGTTGCAGTAGATTTGCCCTTTCTGGACATTTCTTATCAACAGAATCATACATTATGTTTATATCTAGCTAAGTGGAAGAAGCCAGTCACAAAAGAACCACATAATGTATGATTCCATTGACATTAAATGTTTACAGATGGTGTTTTTAAAATATTTTTTAGAATTTACCTTCCCTTCCCTATGCCCCCTCTCTCTCTGCCTGTGAAGGGGGTGTGGGAGGCACAATTTGGAGGCACCAAAGGGTAGTGGGCCAGTGATCCCACCAGCAGAGTGGCTGCTCTCTGCTCCCCCAGCTTTTCCTTGGGCCTGTCCAGGGAAGCTAGTGCCTGCTGAGGCTCTCCTGGTGCTTTTTTTCTCCATCCGTCCTGCACTGTGCTGTTCCCATTACTTTCAAAGTCTGGCTTTACCGCATAGGTGCCTGTCCCATATCACAAAGGTGATTTTTACTGTATTGAAATATGGTAACTGTGTTCGTTACTTCCAATAAGTGTTTTTTTGTTTTTGTTTTTTTACCTGTGACACATAATTAAATTCATTAAACGCTTTTTCCACTTCTATTCTTTACCATCTGGGCCAGGCATTCCACCCACTCAGCTCTCCAAGTACGGAAACCTGGGGCATGTGAACGTCAGCGTCGTCCAGGAGCCTCTGGCCTTTATCCTGCCAAAGAGAGAGATGGCCTTCTGTCTAGACGACAAGGCGCTAGTCCCCGAGGTCACAGCTCCAGCGCCAGAACCCCCAGCCGAGGGGCCAGTCCTCGAACCTGTCACCCCGGCTTTCCCTGACGGGGGGCAACAGGAGGTGGGATCCGTGGGACCGCCGCAGGCAGCCGACGAGCCTAGTGCAGGCACTTGACAGGTGCCCCCTGCGCCTGGGCTGGTGCGGCGGGTACCGGGGCCCCGGAGCCCGAGGGGCTTACTGCAGCGCCCGGTGGGAACGGGAGTTGCCGCGCGTGGGAGAGGCTGCGAAGGCATAATTAACGGGAGAACCTCCTGGATATTCTTGTAAATGCTTGATTAAACTATCAGAAATGGAATTAAATAATAAAGCTGGTGGACGCCACCCAGAGGCAGGCTGCGAAGTGTGAGCGGCGCCGGCGTTCCCGGAAGGCCCGCGGGAACTGCACTTCCCGGAGTCCCTGGGGGCGGGAGCTTCGGCTACGGGGGCCGGCGAGGGACGCGTGCGGGCGGGTGGCTAGGCTTCACGCGCCATGGGTCAGCTGGGGGCTGGGCTGCTGCTGCGGTGGCTGCGGGCGCGTGGCTGCGTGAGGCCGGCCTTGCAGTGGGGAGAGCGCGTAGCGGGCGGCGGCGCCCGGGCCTGCAGCTCCAGGCACCCCCCGGATGGCCTCGAGGGCCCGGCGCGCCGGCGCTCCTACTGGCGCTACGTGCGGCGTCTGGTGCAGGGAGCGCCGGAGCCGCCGTACCCGCGCGTGTGCCAGGTCGGGGACCCGGCGCTGCGGGCCGTGGCGGCCCCGGTAGAGCCGGCACAGCTGGCGGGACCCGAGCTGCAGCAGCTGGTGCAGCGGCTGGTGCAGGTGATGCGGCGCCGCCGCTGCGTGGGCTTGAGTGCGCCGCAGCTCGGAGTGCCGCTGCAGGTGCTGGCGGTCGAGTTCCCCGAGGCGCTCTTCCGCGCGTGCGCGCCGCGCGTGCGCGAGGCCCGTCAGATGGAAACCTTCCCCCTGCGAGTGTTCGTGAACCCCAGCCTGCGTGTGCTGGACAGCCGCCTGGTCACCTTTCCCGAGGGCTGCGAGAGCATCAGCGGCTTCCTGGCCTGCGTGCCCCGCTTCCAGGCGGTGCAGATCTCAGGTGCGGGGCGGTGGGGTCCCTGGGGCGGATAGGTAAATGCGTGCTCCCCTTTAACCTGCGGAGGCGGCGGCCTCGGATCCCACGAAACGGTTTCCGTAAAGTTCCAGTTAAAGCGTAGACATGTTGATGGCTGATCAGCGGAACCTACCTACCCACGAGCAGACCCTGGAGTGGACAAAATTCAGGACTGACGCAATGCGATGGGGCAGGAGGCGCCTGTGAGAGCAGAGCCAGCTCAAGTGGGGCACAGGGTTGGGGGGTTGGGGTTTGGGAGGGTGGCCTGATTCCCCTGTTAGCTCACACCACATCCTCTGCCCTGTCACTCACCTTGTGCCTGTTTCTCTGTCTCTCTCACACACACACACACACACTCTTTCTTCTGCGCCAATTAGATCTGTCACGTGGAACGGGAGAAGTAGAACCCAGCTTTGCCTAACCCAAACTGATAAGCCATTACCTGTCATACCACAGGATGTTTTGCAGAGTGTGATTCTTTGCTGGGGTTGGCATGATTGTTCCTCTTGAGCAAGTCACTTGGGAAGATCATTTCTCATTTCAGCCCCATAGCGAACCCAACAACCTACTCGTCAAGAGTTGGGAACCAGGCTGAATACTTGGTAAGAGGCAGAGTTCAGACTTCTTTTCTAGGAAGCATAGGGGCTGCCATCTGCATTCCCTTCTGATATTGCCTCTTGTAAATAGGAACAGCCAGGGGCAAGGAAAGGCTAAGTAGGTTGAGAATGATGCAGTTCAGCATGTCCTCGCCCAGGCTGTACCTTCCTTTTCAGGGATGGACCCCGGAGGAGAGCAGGTGGTGTGGCAGGCCAGTGGGTGGGCAGCCCGCATCATCCAGCATGAGATGGACCACTTGCAGGGCTGCCTGTTCATTGACAAAATGGACAGCAAGACATTTACAAACATCCATTGGATGGAGGTGAATGACTAAAGCTTTCCTGCTGCATCTGAGGACCCTGAAAACCAAGACACAAACATTTTGGCTTTAAGCTGGGCATGTCTTACCTGGCATCCCCTTGGTATTGGCTCTGCTCCGACAGAAAACAATGGCCTGTCAAAGCATGCCTTCCTGAGTTGGAGGAAGATGTTAATGTTTGCCCTGAAATGAGCTATGGACAATGTATTGCCTTCAACTTGAGAAGAAAAATAACTCCCCTGAAGGAGTGGACATTTCCTGGCAATTTTGTATGGAGATAAAGATGGGGCAGGGGCAAGTAAATAGCCACTCTCAGTAGACATGATTTCAGAAGAGCTGTATCATCTGTTCCCAAAGCCAAGATTAGATAATATAGTCCCCAAACACCTGAAAGCTGTGTTTTAAAATGTGGATTAGGGCTGTGGTTGATCGTCTTCACCAAATTCTTACATTTACAAAGGGCTCAAGTGTGTTACCTGCATAGTCTCCATTTGTTTTGGATACCAGTTTGCCTGTGGAAGTAAAACACAGGACAGAATGTCCCCAGTTCAATGACAATATTAACGTAACTGAGTATTCATACATTTTAACAGGTTCAGATACAGTTTAGGTCTCCAGCTTTTGCTTTCCACCTTTAACAGACCTGGGGAAGACTTTTCTGCTGAGATCTCTTAGGCAGCTGGTACTTGGCTCATTCTTTGGATGGAGGCCATGGAGCAGGGCTGGGGGAGGGGTGATATAGGTTTCCCCACGATCTGAAAGAAGAGTGTTCTGATGAAACCTTTCCTAAGCTGAAATAGCATAAATTAAAGAAGCAGTTACCTTAGGACACATCTTGCTAACAGATGCACAAAATAAATGGAGATAAAGCACAGATTGTCACAGATACAGTTCAAAACTGTGGTGGCTTGATGCTGAGCGCAGCTCCCAGGTAAGGAGCTTGACGGTGCCACTCTGGCAGCTCTGAGTGCGTGCTGCTTCTATAATGGCTCACTGCAAAACAAAAGCTGAATGCTGTTTCAGCTTTCACCTTTTTCGTAGAAGTGAAAATCCTCTTCAAATTTCTTTCCATTAGTGAAAACAGGTACTAATATAGGTCTTTCATAAAAGCAAAGCAGTGTAAAGTGAAGTTACAAAAAGTGGGGGATGCCTGTAGTTGAGAAGGAGCAAAGAGCCTCTTCCTGTCACAATTAGGGCAGAAACAGAAAGCAGAACTTGTGCTTCCTCGTCAGCACACTTATTCTGAAAAAAATAAATTAGCATGATGGTGACCAGTGTTTTAGCTTTAAGATTCTGTCACAGCTTTGTCAAGAGGTTAAGGAACTCATTTCTTTTGATACTTGTCTTACCTCATTTTTATGTTGAGTTTTGCCATGCAGGTACTCTTACCAAAGTCCTCAAAATCCAAGTACCCATAGAGTAAGAAGTCCAGTAAGTTGTTTAGAGAAAATGTGTTTTAAACAGTAGTTAATTAAATGACCCCAGGAAAGACCCATTTTCCCCCATGGCTTTCTCTAAACAGCCAAGCCTGGGGGCCTGTGAGGCCAAGCAAAAGAGAACTGGCTCTCTGTGCATCACACTTCAGAAAGAAACAGGGCCCAGCACTGCCCTGAGGTGAGGACAGAGACTCAGCCACCTGGGAATCTGTAGTGAGCTCTCACGTATACTGAAAACACGTATCCTTAGGAAAGTTAGAATTCAGTGAGCCTCCTTTCTATTGGACACTGTTCAGAAGCTCCTGCAGGATGGCATCAGAACATTCTGAAGATTCCTTACAGGCTCTGCGGTTAACAGTCCTTAGTAATGCCTTTGTAATGCAGATCGGTAGTATTTGCCTGAAGCTTCCTGAAACAAGGCCTAAAAGTAAATGATTGCCCAGGGTGGACTGTGGAGAAAGCCTGAGACTACGCTGCTGACAATATATGAAATTTACTGTTGTAACCAAATCCACATACAAGGAAGGATTTGATCAACTGGCCCAAGACACTACAACCCAAAGACAACAAATTCTTGCATTTACAAGAAAGAAAATCTCTCCCACCTTGGCCAGAGATTATCAGCTGCAAAACCACACAGATCACCACCTTGAGCTAATAAAAGTTGTAGAAGTCAATCAACTTCCACAGCGAAAATCAGTGTAGGCAGAAGGCTTAGAACAGAATTCCCAGGTAGGGAGGAAGTGAATTTCAGAGCAAGCGCTTAGGGAAGGAAATTCCTCTGCACATATTAGCCACATTGAGCATAGCCACCGTGCCAGCCTCAGTAGTGAACAGAACATTCATTTGCCCTGTTACTGGTGGTAGAGAGATAAATGGAAAGGCAGGGCAGCTGTGAAGGCTGTGACTAGAGCTGTGAGGATGAACCACAGCAGTCCTACAGTTTCTGCTAACCCCTGTGACTTGCCAAGGTGTTCAAGCAGTAGAAATAAGGAAGCAGGTTAAGAAAAAAAAAAAAAAGGCAAGAGCCTTCTGATTTAAGTAAAGGTAACCAGACACAACTAACTAAAATGAAGCAGTACAAGGAGGGGGTGGTTTATAGACCAGCAATTGGCGGCTGAAGGCACATAACTAATCAAGAATATAATAGGGGAGCTCCTGAGTGAGTGACAAAGATCCCAGCCACAGTGACATCTGGAGGTCAGGCCTGCTGATCCACCAGCACTGGAGAGGAACACTGGGCCTAAGCCTTCAAGGAACCAAGCAAAAGTTAAACACCACAGTGCAAAGCTAACAAGATCAAGAGGGGCCACATAATCAGCTCTGGACCATTCTGGTTGAAGATACAGAGGAAGAATGCTAGGTTTTGGAGTGGGAGGAGAGCTACAGCAACCAGATGCCAGGCTGCTTCTGCTGCCCCTCAGACAGCACTTCCAGGGCTGCTAGCTCTGGAGCCTTGGCTGTCTCACTATCAGGAGTCACAGATTCAAATGGCCCCAGGGGCTGAACAGGAAATGCAAAGGAGTGAGGCAGTCCGGGTGGGGACGCGTGAGCTGGAGACCACAGTCCTCCTATGAACAAGAAAGGCCCTGCTCAGCTGCAGCTGATAGGCTGCCTCATGGGGATTCAGGTCCAGCGTTCCCTAAACTACTGTTTCAGAAGCCAGAGATCTAAATTTTTATGTCAACCTGACTTTAAATATTGGCAGCAGACCAAACCAAAGCACAACTGCAGGCCACGTCTGGCCCACAGGCTTCCCAGTTTGCAGCCCCTGATCTGTAGGCTGAACAACAAGAATCGCCCAAGTCCCTTAAACACCCCCACCGCACTTCTGAGGCCTTGGGGGAAGAAAGGCCTCGTGAACCTAACTGGAGAACAGGCCCGGAAACTGCAGCAGCTGGTGACGTTCCTGTTTACTTGCTACTCCACTGAAAAGGGAGCAGACCCCAGAGGATCTTTCTAGTAGAAGCAAGGGTGGCCTTCAAAGAGCCCCAGACAAGAGTCAAAGATGAGATCACTCAGGTGGCTCAAGAAAGGAAAAGGATTTATTAGCCCCTTTCCAGGACAGGGACCCGGGGGCAGTGGCCGGGTTCAGTGTTCTCACATTCAGAGGGAAGAAAAGGCAGCAGGGAAACCCGACTGACTGCCTTCACTCGTTCTCATCTATACAGCTTTGTGCTCACAAAAACCATCCTCTTCTCCTGCAGGGAGGACACAGGGCCCGGAGGGAGAGAATGGCTTGGCTTTACTCTTGGCCTTTACAGACAGAGCCGGGGCTGGGGACCCAGGGCATCAGCCATTCTGTTCATATGGAGCAAAACTTGGGTCTGGAAGGGATGGGCAGCGGGGCTCTGGCCAGCCATTCCGAAGGTCTGCTGCACCAAGCCCGAAGCACGGGCTGCTTCCGCTCCTTGACGCTTCAGGCAGATCTTAACTTTATTTATAAACAAGACGAAAATCCAAGCAGCATTAATTTAGGGGAACAAAAAATGGTTTAAAAAAAAAACCATGGAGGGGCAGGACAAGGAGGTGGTGAGCATCCAGAAGAGGAGGAGGAGGAAGCAGGAAGAGCCAGAATTCCACTGGGTGCCGAATGTGCTTCTGCGTCTCCGCGGCCGGGGAGGCCCTTCCTTCCTGCTCCCCCAGCTGATGGCCAGACAGCAGAGGGGATGCTGTAGTGACTTTAGGACAAGCCCTGGAGCCCTGTCTGGCCACTGCCATGGGGAGTACCATGGATTGACCCCAATCAACTCCCACCTTCACCATCACGCATGTGAAGAAGGTTTTAACTCTCCTGTCCAAAGTCCTCTGAGAATTTCTTCACTTTCAGGAGGTCATCTGCATTCACGGTGGGCCGAGTGGTGGCCAAAGACCGGAGCATGTCCGACTGCAAAGACAAGTGCTTGTGGGTGAGGGAGGCTGGGCTCCAGGGCCTCAGCCTGCCTTAGTCTCAACCCCATGCAGTCCAGGGTGGGAAGAGCCCTGCCGCCGAGGTCACGCCCCAGCCCCTAATGCAGAACTCCCGTTGCCTGGTTTCTGCCTGAAGGCCTCCTGGGGTAGGGACGCTCCCCTCCTGAGGCAGCTCATGTCATTTCCAGATGGCCTACTTCCGGTTGAGAGAATCTAAGTTCCCATTGTTTCTTAACTCATGTGAGAAGCTCTTTTCCAACTGCACGCCCACCACACCAGGCCCAATGGCAAACACTTGCCACACAGAACAGGCAAGACCAGGATAAGGAGAGGCCAAGAACAGTCAGATGAGAGGCTGCCTATGCAACTGCACCAAATCAAACCATGCTGACAGACATTTACTGGTTCCTTCTGTGTACAAAACAAGCTCTGTGTAGTCCTCTCTCCCAGCTGGCCACTTACCATGCAAACCACAGGCTCTAAGAGTTTGTCACCGGGGACATCCATCCAAGTCATTTCCATGGCCCCTGGGTCCCCTGGTGAGCATGGGGTCAGAAGGTCGTCGATCATAATGCTAGGGTTGGTACGGGAAGGGCCACAGACCTGAAACCAAACAGGAGTTTGACTGGCTGGAGGGGTTGCCCCATGGCATTTGGGGAAGGGGCGGGACGATTCAGGTTTCTGAGTCCTGAGCAGAAGGTAATAGCATGGTATGAACAAATGCCTGGGTTTCTAGATCATCAGTCTGATCTGACTGATGGGCTCCTTCAAACCCTTGGGCTGGGCAGTCAGTGTGGCTCCAAGTCTGATTTCAGAGGTTCGTGATCAGCATGCTATTCCAGCTACTATTCTCTGGAATCTCAATCTGTGGCCCAAATGCCTAGAAAGCTTCCTCTTCTTCATCAACTCCATCAAATCTCACAAGTGCAGTGACATCAAAATGTTTTTCCAACCGAAGGCTGCGTGCTCCATCGGCAACATCTCCCCAAATATCCCCAAGGCTCAATCCCTCCCGTCATTCAACTCTTGACTCAGTGTCACCCAGTGTGGCATATCCTTTAAAAGTGAAACCTACCCACACCCCCTCCAAACCTCAGAAACACCAGACCTCCCTCCCCAGCTCCATCTTCCCCTCATTACCCTCTAAGAAATGAGTCTTTGTTTGTTGTCTGTCTCCCCCACTAGAAATGAGGCTCCTGTAGGGCAGGGATTTTTGTCTGCTGTGGTCACAAGTGTCTCCCCAACACCTAGAACAGTGCCAAGCACACAGTAGGACCCTCGGCGACACCTGACAAACATCTGCTGTGTGAATGGAGTTCCTCTTCATGGTGTGTGATTTTGCACCCACTGCTTTCAGACATGCAGCAGGGTCTACCACGCACATCAGCACAGTGCTGACGGCAGGGGTGGCAGAGGTGACAGTCACGGTGCCCTGTCCTCTAGCATCACACAATCTGAGATGGTCGCCCTCCAGCCAGAACTGCAGGGGAGGTGGAAGCAGGTGTAACCCCAGCCCCTGGAGTCAGAGAGTTCACCATGCACTTACCCTTGGCTCCCCAGGAGACCCAAAATGTGTCACCCAAGCAGCCAGAAAGCCAATATCCCCTTTCCTGTCGACACTTTCTAAGCAATTCCTTGCTGGCCCACTCACCTTTTTGAAGTGTGTCGCTGACTGTACTTTCCTCACGGGCTGCATGAGGGAATCCCGCACGATGATGCTGATGTCTGCGCCCGAGTAGCCTTCTGTCTTCCGGGCCAGCTCGTGGATGTTGGCGTCTGTGAGGTTGTGAGGAGTGCTCCCCAGATGCAACCGGAACATCTGGGCACGGGCAGCCTCCTCCGGCAATGGGATATAAATTCGCTTTTCAAACCTAGAGAGACAAGCACATGGCACGACTTGAGAGCGGATGGCGGGATGGTCTCAATGGAGAGGCTCGGGGGGCCCTCCAGAAGCCGGCTTCACTAAGGGCTCTGCAGACACGGAGAAGCCGCCAGAGAAACGGGGTCAGGCTGCACCCCCTGCTGCCAGCAGCAGGTTGACCACGGCTGGAGACAGATCTCGGCCCCTGGCTCCTACTGGGGAACACTCACCTCCTTCTAATGGCTGAATCCAAAACCCACGGGATGTTTGTGGCACCAAGTACCAGAGTCCCATCATTGTTATTCCCCACCCCTGTGGAGAAAGGGAAACACAGACGCCAACTCAACACCTGCAAGGATCAGTCAGAACCTGTGAGAAGGACCTCAGGGACTTTGCGTCCTGAACGGGAGCTGTTCCTGTGACACCACCGTCAGGAACCCGGCTGGCTTTAGTTGGGTGAAGAGCCCTACAGCCCTGCCTGCCTTGGGAGGGGCGGAGAGGTGGCCAGCCAAGGCTGCAGTAACCTCTCCTCAATGAGAAGGAGCTAAGAATTGCTTCTCCGATATCCCCTCCACTGAAAGGACAGTCAGATCCAGCCACAGCTAAATAATGACGCCCTAGGCTGGCTTTAGGGGGGGACGAGAACCAGGGAGGGGACCCGGGACTGGCACACACCCTGCATCTGGACCAGGAACTCCGTTTTGATCCTTCGGGCGGCCTCACTCTCATTTTCGTTGCGGGATCCGCAGAGCGAATCCACCTCGTCAATGAAGATGATGGAGGGCTTATGTTGCCTGGCCAGCTCAAACAGGTTCTTGACTAGCCTGTGAGGGTGAGACACAGGGTTGGGATCCAGACACCTGCACACATGCCCAGCCGGGGTCCCAGGCACCACCTCTCCTCTTGCCCTTCCCTCGGAGAGGCTGAGACGACAGAAAAAATAGTGGTAACAGATCCTCTGGCAGCACTGCACTGAGAGGAAGAGCAAGCCTTGGCAACAACTTCAAATCCTGGCAGCCCCGTTCATTAGCTCTGGTCTGAGGACAAGTCACTTCCCTTCCTCTCCGCCTCAGTTTGATCATCTGCAAAATGGGAGCCGGTGTGGGGATAAGTTAACTGTATAAAGTCCCCAACAGAGAACACTCAGCTGAAACCCAGTTACTGTGAGCGCCTTTCCCTTCCCTTCATGAGGACTTATGGCTCCCAAGTTCCCTTCCAGTCTCCGTTGGCTCTGTGAGGACCGTGTCCCACCTGACGAGCTAGCAAGATACCCCTCTCCCAGCTACTCTTCCCGGCCATCACAGCGGCTCCTCTGGGAGGTGATTCCAAGGGCAGGGAAGCTGGACCACGAGCAGCTGCCAGGGCTGCCAGGAGAGTGGAGCCTGGCGGCTGACTTACTTCTCACTCTCCCCCAACCACTTAGACATCAAGTCTGAGGAGGACACAGAGAAGAAGGTAGAGTTGTTGGCCTCCGTTGCCACTGCTTTGGCCAAGTAGGATTTCCCTGTGCCAGGGGGTCCGAAGAGCAGTATTCCCCGCCAAGGGGTACGCTTGCCTACGAGAAAGAATGAACTCAAGTGAGCTTCTTCCTGACTGGGAAAAGGGAACAGAAAAAAGCAGAGGAGCCTCAGTCATGGTAAACACAGAAATGAAAAGTTCTAAATGACAACTTTGCTCTAGGAGCAAAGGAGCAAAGGGAACTAAATCACCTGCCGAGGGCTTGATCCTAGCCCTGGCTCATGACCCCCAGGACCTGGCAAAGTGACACTGGCTGGCACTGGTTCCTGACCCTGCCTACCACTGAGATGGTCAAGTCAAAGTTCTAGCCACAAAAGTGTTTCTGACACTGAAGAGAAGCCAAGGAGTAGATGACTGTGATGAGCAGCCCCTGGGCCCTTGCCTGCTAAGGGCAAAAGGGAGCCAAGTCACCATCTGCCACCTGGACACCTTCATAATGGGGGCCCTCAGCTGGTGGCCTCAGAAGTCTGATTTTTCTTTTTTTTTTTTTTTGGCCACGCCACGCGGCTTGCGGGATGTTAGTTCCCCGACCAGGGACTGACCCGAGACCACAGCAGTGACAGCGCAGAGTCCTAACCACTGGACCGCCAGGGAATTCCCAGAAGCCTGATATTTTTGCATCTGGGCCTAAAGTGGCTCAACTCTTACCTGTGAACAAGTGTGGGAATTTAATTGGCAAAATGACAGCTTCTTTGAGGGCC